AAATTGCTCTAAAAGGATGTATCTCATAGAAAACTATAAAAAATGTATTTTATTGCATTAATATGCAATACAAATTTAATCTAATTGATTATTAAAATTCATTGAATGTGACCTGAAATAATACAAGTAAAAAATACTGTGAAAGAAAATAAAGATTAAATTTGTTCAATTTAATTCAAAAAATTTAAAATTACTCTGAACTAAAATATATATATATATTTTAGGATGTATAATTTTGATTTCTAAAAAATGTATCTCATAAAAAACTATCAAAAAAAATATTTTATTGAATTAATATGTAGAACTCCGTATAAATTGCTCTAAAAGAAATAAAAAGAGCCCCCAGCGAGGATCGAACTCGCGACCTTTCCCTTACGAAGGGAACGCACTACCACTATGCTATGGAGGCTGTTGTCAGCAAACTTTGCTATCTCATTAAAAAACTAAAGCTCAAGCACTAGACGTCTAGAAAAAACCTCTTGTTTTTCCAGCACTAAAACGAAAATTAGGGTTTAAGGAATTGGCGGACGATAATTGCTCCGGCGAAATGTGTGGAATAGCGCTGATTGTCGCCGGAATTCGCATAGACATATCGTCGCTTCTTCCCAATTTTACCTCTCCAACGCCTCAGTTTCATCAGAAGGTAAGTTCACTCTTCCCAATTGTCAATCCAATGATGAATTTAATGGCAGTACGTTTTGACATCATTTCGTGCTTCAGAATTTGGTTTCAGTGGAAGAAATTAAATCTGCCCTGCGTAGAAGAGGCCCGGACAGCTTAGGGAGCAAGACTGTGATTCTTCAGTCCAGAATTTCTCCTATCGGAGAAGGGGAATGTGAAATTTTTGCTGTAGCTGGTGATGGTGATGAAATAAGTGACAGAAATGGCGGTGGTGGCGTTAGAGAATTGCTTGGAGTTGCAGAATTGCAGTTTATTGGGGCTACATTGCAGCTCAGAGGTGTGGACCCTATGGTTCAGCCTTTGGTGGATGAGTGCGGGAATATTCTTGTGTATAATGGTATGGCTGGCAATTGCTAAGATACTTAGTTATCAAATGTATTGCATCAAAAGAAGCGTACCCAGTGTATTCCCGCGAGTGGGGTCTGGGGAGAGTGTGATGTACGTAGGCCTTACCTCTATACCTGTGAAGGGTAGAGAAGAGAGAGACTGTTTTCAAGAAGAAAAAGAATGGAAGTGGGATGGCAAGAAGAAAACCAACTAAATGAAGAAGGTGGCATGAATGGGGTAGCACGACAAAGTTCACATATGACTAATCATCCACACAAGCCATAAAACTACTAGACACACAAAAAGAGATGGAAGGAGTTCCCTCATCTTAAACCAAAGAGACAAAGCCTAAACATTTTACCACCCTTCCGGCCATATCAAGTTTATTGCATGTAGAAAAATAATGCGGATTATTCTTCTCATTGTAAATTTTAACTCTTGGAGCATACACTATTCCTTGGTAGTTTTTATCATAGGTATGCTGATTTGGAACATGATTAAGACTCTTTTTAAGTTTTACAAACAACATACGGAGTATTTGTTAATGGAATCGTAAATTGTTGCTGAGCTCTGGATGTTTGTGAAATGTGGTCATTTGGAGTTAGTTGTATCATTTATGCAAATTGATAGAATGTATTCCTGTTTTTTATATTTCCAACTTCCAAAGGCAGTTTTATTTCCTTCTATTTATTTTCTTTACATCTTTTTGGTAATTTATAGGTGAAATCTTTGGAGGTATTCATGTGTCTTGTGATGAAAATGACACAGAGATTCTTATGCAATCCTTGAGAGGGTGCTGTTGTATTTTAAATGAACATAATATATCTCAATTTTATGATGCACAAATGCATAAATCCATTCCTGCCCTACTTTCTCAAATCAAGGGACCGTGGGCTATGATATATTGGCAGGTAACTATGATTGGTAAGTTCTTGTTAGCTTACCTTAAATGATACAATTGTCTTAAATCACGTCTTACTGAAATATATATCCTCGCATGTAGAATAGCTCAAAGACCTTGTGGTTCGGGAGGGACGCATTTGGTAGGCGGAGCCTTCTTGTTCATTGGCCCACACAAGAGGACTCTCGGTTTCTTCTATCTTCCGTGTCACCACCATCTGCAACAATGGAAAGATCTGGTACGTAGTTGTCGATGGACTTTTACGTTTCTATTCTTTCTAAATTCTACTTGGTGTAGAATTGTAAACTTCTTCATAAAATCTGCAGTTCTTGAGTAAATCTGTATGGTAGATTTGTAGTTTTTCCACTTCATCTCTAGATAAGATATCCTTCATCTTATCCATATATTTTCTGTTATTATATGCATGTGTATCTACTCTCCATCTCATATGTGCCATCAGACGGCAATGGTTTCAATATATTGGGCATGCTTTTTCTTAAAGCGTTACTTTTGCATGACTTTATTGTATTATATATGTACTCTAAACCTGCTTACAGCCTGCAGTAATTATGAGCATAGTGATTTCTGGGAAGAACTTCCTTGTGGAGTGTACAGTTTGTCTATTGATACTTCAAAAACCAATAGAGATTTGGTTGCTAAAGTTACAAAACATGATTGGCCTGATCCAAATCTTAAAGAACTAATTAGATGGGAGAGAGATTTAATACAACCCAGCCCAGAGGACCTGCAAATTTCTCAGATGAAGATTTCTTGTTGGGAGCAAGACATTCACCCTAATGGTACTGGTAGGTAGTTACTATTTGGTCTATTTCTGATAAGATGCCATGCCGTTTAAGATGTCTTTAAATCTATAACTGTAATATTTGATCCTCATGTAGATTGGCTCAACACTGACTCAAGTTTCTCCTTCCAATGCTTTTAGGACATATGGTGTGCTCGTCTACGTTGTTACTACAGAGAGTTCTACTGGCTTTGAGAGAATCGGTCACGAAACGGACTTCAAAATATACAGTTTATCAGGTTCAATCTCACTAATATGATAATGAAATTGCTATTTTACACCCACGTGTCACATGAACATGACTCTGCGAGTGGAATTTAAAGTATGTTTCTACCTTTAAAAGATCTTTTGTGAGCCTTGCTTCTTACAAGCTTATATATAGTAATACATATATAGTAACTCCTTGTGAGTATGTTGAGTAGTTATTTGTTCAGTAATTCCTTGTCATTGCTTCGAGTATGCACCTCATTTTAAGAGAAGTACCTTTATTTTCCTTTTGGAATTTATGGGGTGGGCTAGATTGTTAAGAATTAATTGTTTTCTTCTTGGTAAACAAGCTGCATTTACCAATGACCCCTTTTTGCCCTTTGGAAAACTATTTATTTTCCAATAGTTCAACTGTAATTTGTTCAAACCATGGAAAAGGTGAACTACGATAGCAGTAAATTTTCAATTTGTTAACTACTCCCTTCGTCCCATTGTTTTCGTCCACGTTGCTTTTTGCACATGACCAAGGAGGGAGAGCAAAGAGTACAAATCGACCACTATACCCTTAATTTACTTTGTATTGGGGTGGGTAAGAGTTGTAAGGACGAGTAAAATTAAAAACAGAAGAGGGGGGAGGTGGCAAAAGAGTCAAATAGTCATCTAAATTACAGTGGAGTATTTCTATAAAAGGAAAGTAGACGAATACAACGGGACACCCAAAAAGGAAAAGTGGGCAAACACATTGGGACGAAGGGAGTATACTTGAAACACTCTTGTTGTGTTCACAATGGTCCTTTAATGTAGGCAGTTTCACTTGGATGTGAGCGTAAAAACTATGCTCCGATAGCACTGCTATTTTCTGGTGGATTGGATTCTATGATACTTGCAGCATTGTGTGATCAGTGCATAGATGCAAACTGTGAGTGTGTATGTTTATTAGAGTTAATTTTTAATCCCTTTCCTGCTGCCTTACCAAGAACAATTTTATCCTAGGGAATCACTGTGAAATTTATTTTCTTTTGACAACAGATGCAATTGATCTGCTTAATGTAAGTTTTGATGGTCAATGTGCTCCCGATAGAATATCTGCCAGGGCTGGTCTTAAGGAGCTCCAAAGGATTGCCCCATCAAGACGGTATGCAGTTATCCTGGCCTGCTGAAATAGTTGATGATGCATTTTGATTGAATAAGGCAACAAATGAATACTCTAGGCTATCCTATGAATTTTCCTTCTTGAAAATCCCATTAGATCACCCATATAATTGGAGTGTTGCATCTTTTCCTGGGTTGTTGGAGTTGAACTAAGTATTCCATGTGTGATCTTCTATTGCTTAATTGCTTTGCATTGCATTACAGCTGTTTATTCTTATTTATATGTAATGTGTGTTGTCCTTGCCTAACTTTTTGAATACTTTGACCTTTGACTTGTAAAAATGTTAAATTTCAGATGGAAACTTGTAGAAATTGATGCTGATCTACAGAACCTAACATCTGAAACAAAACATGTCATGTCACTTATAAATCCTGCAAAGACCTTCATGGTACATATCTTGGGACTATTACGCTCCGCTCTAAGAATTTTCATACCTTTCTTCTTCGTGACTAGTGACCTCTCCTAATTTAGATGAACAGAAAATAAATGTTGAAAAAGAATGTAATGGCAGTATAATATTATATTTCAGTTTTTTAAACTATTAATTCAGGATTCATACTTGAAGTAGTTCCCTCTTAATGACTGTAAATGGCTTTTCTCAAATCTCAAAAATAAACGTGTGGTTGACTTTTTAAGTAGATATGCCGTAAGCTTCCAAATAAGTTTAGATAAGCTTCCATGAGGTGGTTTGGCTAGATACTTCCATGAGGTGGAGAAACTCTGACAATGTGAAGCAGCCTGTTCAATTGTTCATCAAAACTATTCATTAATGTCAATTGTAGAAGTAATTCCTTAAAATCTACCCAGGACCTGAATATAGGAATAGCACTATGGTTGGCAGCTGGTGGCGATGGTTGGGTATATCAAACCAACATGAGCAGTAGTGTTGCTGAAATCTGTGAACGCGTCAAGTACAAGTCTGAGGCCAGGATTCTACTGGTAGGCTCTGGTGCAGATGAGCAGTGTGCTGGATATGGCCGGCATAGGACTAAGTTCAGAAACGGAAGGTAAGTTTAGAGGCCGTGTTGTTATTGAAATATTCTATCATTAATAAGCTCACGGGCTTTAAACATTTTTGTTTTACTGGTTGTGCAGTACCCTATGTAACATTTTTTGTTTTACATAGTAAAATAATACTCTCTCCACTATTTTTTTAAGTTGCTCTACTTTTCTTCTAAGGATGCAACTAAATGTTTGGTCCCCGCTTCTTATTTACTCCCTCTGTCCCAAATTAAGTCGTTAGTTTACTATTCACAAGGTTAAACTTTATTCACTTTTCTATCTATATTTTTGTTAATCATTTGATAAAAAAATATAGTCAGATCACCTCTTGTTGCGTAGAACTTTTAATGTAGTTTTTAAAAATTTAAACTTTGTTTTTTTAATTCTACCTCAATTCTTAAATAATTGTATTGAAAATAACTTCAGTCAAACTTCGTAAATTGGAACAGGTGATTTAATTTGCGATGGAGGGAGTATTAAATTTATGAGTGCGAATGGACAATTTTTGGCATATTACCTTCTGGAAATGACTCAAGCCCCTCCTTTTCCATATTTATACTTAACTCAAAAACTGTGTAAAAAGTAAATTTAGCAACTTAATATAGCTACCTCACTTATAGTACATCACTGTTAATGACTTAATGGTCTCGTATTTGTAACTGTGGCTTTATGTGTCTTTTGCTTCTGTGAAATTGTAATTTCACTCTGTGCTTAATAATTAGCTGGCTAGGGCTTAGCGAGGAGATGAAACTCGACATGCAAAGGATTTGGAAGAGGAATCTTGGACGAGACGATAGATGCATTGCCGACAATGGCAAAGAGGTGATATCAGCAGATCAAGCAGTATTTTATTAGTAGTTTTTTCTACTTACCAATGTGCATATTATATATAATATATATGATTCTCACTCAGGCTAGGTTTCCTTTCTTGGATGAGGATGTCATAAGGGCATTGCTTGATATTCCTTTGTGGGAGATTGCCGACCTGAACCAGCCAAGCGGTGTTGGGGATAAGATGATCTTGCGAGAGGTCTTTTTCTACTCTTCCATGTCGTAATTAGGGAGTACATGTTTAGCCTGCACTGAAATGCTCCAACTAGTGTTTTATGTAAATATGTGGTTATAAAATTGTTCCAAAAAAGAAAGAAAAGAAGATTGTTTGGCTAGGTATGGTGATCGATATTATCACTTATTATCACTTTTCTCCTAAGCTTTCATTTGAACTCAGAAAATACTAGTTAAAGAAAATAGAGAGGAATGTATAAGCAGCTTTTGGAAGGAAAGAAAATGTGAGGGAAAATAAACCATGTGCTCAAACTCGCTATATTTATGTTTGATATTTATGAAACTCATTTTGTTTATCTGTTTTAAATTTTCAATTATTATTATTACTATATTATTATTATTATTATTAATCATCATCATCATCACGAGCACCATCATTGTCGTCATTATAATTACTACTCGTATTATATAAAGACTAAGAAATAAAAAATATATGTGAAAAGTTGAAAACATTAATCATAATTTGTTTTCCTTGGCATTTCCCAAGGCTAAACCAAACATAAAGCAACAATTTCCTGTGCATTTTGTTTCATTTTCCTGGTTTCAAACAAAGTTTTGAAGTGAGCTTGTTTTCCATTAAATGCTATTGACATCTCCTTTCTTTTGAAGATTGCCCGATCGCTTGGATTATCCGAAGCTGCTTCTCTGCCCAAAAGAGCAATCCAGGTGTTCATCCTAAAACTTTCAGCTTGTTTTGTTGTGTGCACAAATTTTCACCCGAAATGAACCAAACCAAGTTTTCAAATTCAAATGTATATGTATTATCAGTCTTCTAACTAGAGTTCTGTTTTTTGTGTTTCAAATTCAAATATATTGGGTGTGTTTGGTTGGGTGGAAAATATTTTCCCGAAAAATTTTGATTCCATTTTCCCATGTTTGGTAACATCAGTGGTAGAAAAATTCTTATTCGCCCCCGCCCTTGCGCCCATTTTCCACCACCGTTCCCTGCCACCCCATG